CAATCTTCCCAAAGAAAAGTGTCGTTGTTCTCTACAACATGTACCATACTGAAGCTGAATGCAACAAAGAGATGTCTCACTATGTTGGGACTACACAACTTACTCCTACTCCATCCAAACCATCATACTACCATTCTCAATAATATGATACTTGGTGGAGAAATTATTACTCCATAGAAATGTTCGACGTTCCTGCTTTTACTCAGCACCTAACGAATGCTTTTGCTTTTGTACAGGACAAATCAAAGAAAGGTACTTCGAATCACATCAAAGAAATCCAAGCATTCTAAAAGTACTTTGAGACTGCCTACAGACTTGATGATCTTATTCTAACCACCCGCGAAGTAGCAATAACTTTTAGAGAAAAATTTACAAAGAAACTCCCTAATTTAAAACTACCTTCATACGTTAAACATGAACACAAGTATGGGTTGGTTTTTAATTTGCACCCACCGAGATTCCCTCGATTGGTTTTGGTGTAGCTTTTAGTCCTCTGTTTCTCGACTGATTTTTCTGTGGGGACTTCGTGAAAATTCTTCGACAAGACTCTCAAAAGCTTGCCAAACGGGTGGTTTCGACTAAGCATACTCTGGATAGTTTCAAAGGACATCTTCATATTCACATAGAGCACGTTCACATACTCTCTCCTATATATGAAGTTGTGGAATATGAGGGGGGTTTTTTCTTCTAAGAATTTCTTGACACCCTTTTTACTTGTGGAAATTGTTTTGACCTATTTCTATTTTAGTCTTCGAAGGAAAACAACGAACAAAAGGTTCGGCGAAGAAAACTTCCAAGTCGGCTAAAGACGAAGGCCCAGAAGAAGAGACCACCAAAACAACAACAAAGGTATACTTCGTGTGTTATTATTTCTCCTGATGTATTATCTTTGTATGCTAATGCTTGTGTTATTTTCAAAAAAGTCGAAAACCACCTCCAACTCCAAAGAAACGAAAGACCAAAGAAACTCAAGTTCAAGCAGTTGAATCAGATGATGATGATGATCTCTCACCAGACACTTCCAAAGTTGCCAAGAAAAAGAAGAAGGCGAAGACTTCCGACGCCACTTCTCAGCCGAAACCTAACATTATCAAGATCAAACCCAATAAGCCTATTACTCCAAAGGTGATTAAGGTTGACCTTGAACGGCTCGAGAGTGATAACTCCAGCCCTGGTGCGGATGGTCTTAAGGTAATAGAATCTCACCTCATTTTCTTTAACTTTTTTTATTTTCGACTCATCATTACTTGATTTCTTTTTGCAGGGTGGTGCAGATGGAACTGAACAATCTAGCATTAAACACGCTATCCATGGGAGCACCAACACTCTTTCGAATCATCCCACATCCAACAAAGACTCTAACAAGGGGTCTATGGACGAAGTAAACAAACCTCCTAAAGAACAACAAGAGGTCTTGCCCCCAAAGGATACAACCCAACAGTCTCAAACCACTGACTCTGATCATGAAGATGACAAAGAAGAAGAACATCACACCATAAAAGTTCAAGAAACCATGCACATCCAAAACATAGAGGAAATTGTGCAGGACAAAGAAAATGATTCTTCACCAGAAATATTCAATCAATGTTGCTCAAACTACACTAAAGCGGCAAGAAGCAAAAGTTTTGACTTGGAAGGATTCCCTCATGGATTTATATCGTCTCTATAGGGATCAGTGTAAGGGAAAGAATGTCGTTCAATGGTCTATACATTTCTAAGCTTGTTGTGAAAATTTGTTGATAGATCAACAATACCATAAATAAAGACGGAAAATATAAAGTAAATACTTAAAATATAAACGGAGCCTTGTTGGGATTGGATCTTATCAATTGATAACACATGCATTCTTCTAACCAGTTAAACACAAGTCAATCATTCGTCGGATATCCTTACGTATCACCCACAATATAGGTTATGTCTAACGCAACATCGAGAGAACAACCATATTGTCTCGTTGGTGATGTCTCACGCAACTCAACAACACAGAGCATTAAGAACTGATACTCAAGCAAATGTTAAGCCTAAATATATGTCTAGAGTCTAGAACCTAACAGATCATCATCCTAGATCCAGATCTGAAGAGTATATTTCTATAATGGTTCCAATCAAAGATAAGCAGGTAAGAAAAGATGACATCTTCATCAGCTTTATGATTGATTCATATAAAATGCCATGATCAGAATACGTACACACGCTTAACCCTTTTTACTTGCATTAAACTATAGTTCTTCATCTCTATTATCATACATCCTCACAATACCGTATTGATCCTAATCATGCTACTAATCAACACAATACAATAGAAGATACAAGTGAACACCAACTTACAAGACTATGTTAAAAGTTTTCTCATTGATAGATGAATATCTAAGATCTAAGATTTGAAAAAGGTTTTATCAAGACCTACAAATAAGAAATCAAAGACAACACCAATATTGAATCAAAACTAGTTCAAGAAACATATATTAGATGAAATACATAAGTTATTAAAAGATTACATCCAAACCCAACAAGAGATCGAAGCTCTTACCTTCTCCCTCTTAGGGTTTGTGTTTCTCTCTCTAGAATATGCAAATAAATGAAGAGAGATAAAGTTCTATTATGAAAAAGTAAAAGTTTTGTTCTAAAAAGTGAGAAAAGTACTTAAATAGTTATTACAAAATCAGTCTTGTTCGCCTAGTGAACATCATATTCACCCATCGAAGTGCCTCGGGAACTGTTAAACTGCCCTTGGAAAATATCTGAGTTCGTAGTGCAAGCACTTCTTCGTATAGTGAACTGCTTTGATCTTCAATTAACTCTTCGATCTCATATGCATTGTTAGAAAAAACTTGAAAATTTTGGAACGAACCTTCCCATTTTGGGGACCATTTACGCAATATCCTACCTCTTTTATCCATAGGTATAATTACTTTCTACACTAAGTCTTTAGTCGAAAATGATTTGACTTTGACCTTTTCATTATATGCTTTTTCTACCCTCTTTTTCTGCCTCTTTAATAATTCTAAGGCGTTCAACCTTTCTTCGTCTAAATCAACTAGCTCGTCCAACATCATATTCCAGTAGGATTCAGATGGAATTTCATTTTGTCTTTGAATTTTAGTTGATTGGAGATGAATTTCACCTGGTAAACTGCATCATGCCCATAAATTAATTGAAAAGGCATAGAACTTGTAGCCTCTTTAGAGGAGGTTCGACATGCTCACCATATTTGGTCCAAAGTCTTGTGTCAATTTCTTGGTTTTTTCCCTACAAGCTTTTTTATTAATCTGATTACCACTTTGTTTGTTGCTTCAACTTGACCGTTCATCTGGGCATAATAAGGCGTAGATGTTAACATTTTAAACCCGACTTCGTTAGCAAAATCTTGGACCTTTTGACCAGTAAATACTGACCCCTGATCAGTTGTGATCGTCTCTGGGATCCCAAAGCCATAAATTAGGTGTCTTTTGATAAACTCGGTGACGACTTCTTGATCAAGATTTATCAAAGGTATGGCCTCGATCAATTTAGTAAAGTAATCAATGCCCAATAAGATGTATCTATGAAATTTGGAAAATGATGGTCGAACTTCACCAACCAGATCCAATGGCCAACCCCTAAAGGCCAAGGTTTCACAATAGAATGTAATTCGCTTGCAGGGACGTGTTGTATACATGCATGTATCTGACATTCTTGGCACCTGTTACACCCCAAAATTTTTCCTCTCTTTCTCTAACCATAACTAGCTTGTGCTTCATTTTCATATGCATTGATCATTAGGTCATGAACTCATAATCATACATTGCATTGGTCTTCTATGACATTGGATTACAACAACTCTTTGAATCGAGGTTTCCTATTCGCTTTGAGGTTCTTTCATTCAAGTTTGAAGTAATGGATAATTTCTCAGCATCATGAGTATCTTTCTATCAAAGTTTATCCAGCTACAAGGCTTTCCTCTACCAGGATTCATCAAGTATCAAAGCCATATTTATCAAGATTTCTCAAGAGGTATCATGAGTTAGGGTTTATTTCCCTAATCATGTGGTACTCAAGAGAGTTTCCTTGCAAAGTTTGTTCATCTATGAATCTTATCATTCAAGGAATTCTGTCATTACTTGAGGCACAGGTCATTGAAGATCCTGGTAAATACATGGATGAATGGGGTTTCATATCAAGGATCACTGATCATTTAGGCAAGATATTGTAGGAATGGAATTGTAAAATATAAAGTTGTGGATTTTTTATGTGGCAAGGCATTCTTTCTGTCGAAGTCATTTTTGTCATTCAAGTTGGATGGGTCTGCCTCAATTGCGAGTTAATTTGAATTTTAAGAATCAAGGTTGTAGGCACACAAGGATGGAGGGTTCGTGTTCATGGTTTATTTGGAATGCAAGTCCAAAATTCATTCAAATTCCAAAAATCCATATTCGCATTTTAAAGTCCATTTTCAATCCACTTTTAGATTCATATCCAAATTTATAACCATTAAATCATTATCCATAAAACCCAATTCAATTAACCATTTTTCTTTTTTCTCACTAACCAAAATGGATATAATCCATTTGAAATATCCAATTTAAGTTGTCCAAACCATAAACCACTTTCAAAACCATAATCCATAATTTCAATCCAATTATTTCATGTCCAAATCCAAATAACCATTTCTTTTGTTAATATCCATTTTATTCAAAACCATTTTCAATCCATTTTCTCATTATTACCATTTATTATTATTATTAGAGTTTTCACCAAAACATGTTAAAAAAAACAATAAACAAGCCAACACAATTTTGAACCTTTTCGAAGTTTCTTACACACAAACTTGCCACTACAATGCCACAATGCATCTCCAGCTAATACTGTCTGCCACATGATTCACACAACAAAAACACCCCATCCACCTTCACGTGCCAAGCCTTTTACACTACTCCCACAAGCCGCTTCAGTGTGTTGCATACCCAAACCTTGTATCAACAATACATGATGCATACCCCACAAATTCATTTCCAAAACCGTTACGTTCCAGCTAGCATCAATTCCACGATAACAAAGTGAAGCGTAGCACAAAACCACACACCAAACGTAAACAGCAAAAAGACTGCAACAATTCCTCTCAATTTCACTAATAGAATTTCATAGACAAACCCCATTCTACCCTCCTCAAAATGTCCTATAAATGCAGCCTCCCCCTCTTCATTTATTCCAAGCTCCATACAGCCAAGATCACCCTGCCAATTTTCACTCTTTACCTTCTTCAAAAAATCCTTTGCTCTTAACCAGTCTACCTCCATCATTCTGTTTTCGCCGCAAGCAAACACTTGCACCGTCCATGCTGCAACACGTCCACGCATCTCAGAAATCCATCTTCGAAACCTTCGACCAAATCATCCGTACTACCTACAAAAATCCAACTCGACAACAAACCAACAACTACCTTCAACACAAAAAACCATGAATCACAGATCCTTCCAAATAATAACCAAACACGGTGAATCCAAAATGAGTGCGAGATGAGGTAGAAGATGAACGAAACCCAATTCATAAAACAACACAAACCGATACAAATCAGAGATTGAGAGCAAGCGAGATCCAAAATTAAATCAGAAGAAGAAGCGATAAGAGATTGAGAGGCAAACCTTTGTGAACGAACAAAAAGGAATCTGAGATCAGGGGATTATAGAGAGAGATCGAGTGAGAGAAAAGGTTGAAGTGAGTTGCACTATTGTTCACTTTGGTGACTTTGTCGCGTTCAACTTGTTTGTTAAATGGAAGCTCTATTCTTCTTTAGATTTTTTTCATTGATGGTTGGGTTTTAAAATAAAATAAGCGTGACCCTATTTTGTTCATCCTTGTGCCATGCCTCCATATGTTATGGTTTTGGGCTCATAGGCCCGTGATTCCAAGCATACACCACCTTCTCTCTTTTCCTTTTTATCATCTGTGCCATGTTTTGGTGAAGAGGTGATGGGCTTGTAAGCCCATATGACCCTCATTTGATTTCATACCACCCTTTCAATTTTTTTGTCAATAGTGTTCTTGTTTTTGTGGATGATGGCCCAAGCCCACATGATTCCACTCCTCACACACCTAAATCACTACTACACTCCCCTAATTTTAACTTTGTTGTTTTAGTTAGTTTTTGTTTTTTCAATTAGAAATTAATTCTAACCTTTGATTAAATTTTGGTTTGGACTTTAATATTGGTTTTGATTTTAAATTTTCAGTAAACTTTGTTCTTAGTTTTGATTAAATGTTTATTTTTGTTTTAATGCTAGTTTCAATTTCATTTTAATCATGGTTTTAATTAGTTTGATCTCGGATTTTGATTTCGAACTTTGGATTAACATTGTGATTTGGTGTTATTTTTTTGATCTTGATTTGGTTTGACTAGGTGTTGTCATGACTAATTGAGTTTTCACTAAATCATGTAGTTAATTTTTTATTAATTTCTCATTGATCTTCTTTAGTAGAACAAATGGATTGACCTTTGATTATACTTTTAATTGATTTTCTTGCTATAGAAGTTTTGATTAATCTTGTTGATGATTTGTGTGAAATATTTTGCATGTCTTGCTTGGAATGAGTTTCATGACTTGTTGAACTATTCCATCAATTAATTGCATTAAGAATATTGTTTAAATGACTTGGTGCTAATTTTCATGAGTTCTTGATGCATATTTTGTTAAGTTCTCGAGATATTTTTGATGCATGTTGGGTTGATTAATTCTTGATATATCATGGTTGACGAGTCTTCTTGTGTAAAAGTTGATTGAATGTAGAATGTTGCTGCAACATATATTGCTGTTGTGAATGAAGTGTGATGTTATATGTTGCTATCCTATTGCTGTTGAATGCACACCTGTTCTGTTCTGAAAATAGGAGTTGTTAAATGTTGCTTTACTTGTTTGCTGGAATTTGATATTGTGTTGTACTGAAGCGCTGTTGATGCTGCTGTTTTTGGTTTATTTTCTTAGTTTATACTTGTGTTGCTTTGACGTCTCTTCTTTTCATCTCCTTTCCTTTTCTTTAAGTCTTGAATACTTGATGTTGTTTGTGATTGAGTTGTATAATGTTTACTTGTATTTGTTCACATGCTCCCTTAAGGCTGATAGTCCAACTTAATTTCTGATTAAGCTTGAAGTAGGATAGACATTAGATTTGTAATCCTTTGCATGACAACATCAAGTTAGCTCCCTTTCAATCTCAAACTTAGTTTCATCTTGCATGATAACATTAGGTTAGTGTTCTCTTTCTCATCCTCAACTATAGGACCATTTGGCATGACAACATCTAGGCGTGAGATCCTTTATATTTTTCTTTGCCCTTTGAGTTTCTTCCTTCTCTCTCTTGAATCAAATAAAATATGTAATAAATATGATGAGTATTGTACGTCATGAGCCTTAATTACATGAGGAATTATGAGTGAGAGTCTCTCCTTACTTTTTCCAGAATTTTTGGCATACATCCCGTTTGGGGGCGATTTTGCAAAGCATTCGCTCCCATGTCATAGACTTTTGTGCAATACACGTCTCAAACAAAGTCAATCCACTTCTTTTAAAATTCTTGAACAAATTCAAATCATTTTGTCCTTCAAAATTTTCCTTCAAACCTTTTCAAAAAGGGCATGCTATTTCCGTTCTACCACAAACATATAACGTGTAAGGCTCCAGACAACGAGTAACAAACACCTAACTGCTGGAATGCAAATTTAGCATCATTCATAAAATACATTTATCCGTTCATAGTCCGAACTATGAACGCTCTGATTTCTTCATTCTCGTATGAATGAAGACACGTAGGCACAAGACGACGAAGTCTTGACGAACACTCTTCCACCCGTAGTCCTCCGAACTACGATGACTCTAACTTTCCCATTGCACGAGGGGAATATGTAGGCATAGGATGACAAAGTCCTATTGAGTCTCCTTTTTGTTTTTCCCCTTTCCGTTCCCATTTAGAAAGTAGGCTCTAGATATACACACCCTTTGATTAGAACAATAAGAATGGGTCCCTTTTAGTACAACTGACACGAGGGGGTGCTAATACCTTTCTCTCGCATAATCGACTCCCGAACCCAGAATTTGGTTGCGAGACCATGTCTTCTCCCTTTTGAGGTTTCTTCTATTGTTTCCTTTCCTCTGTCGGGATAAATAACATTCATGGCGACTTTATTTTTCTGCCGATTGTTTTTCACAGTTGTGACAACCGGTGACTCTGCTGGGGACCTGGTTTCCCTATAAGAATCAATCCTAGTGCTTGTCTATTTCTATTTCATTTGGTGTTTATCTTTGTGCTTTTATTTGCTTTATCTGTTGTATATTATTGCATTTACTTGCATTTTATTGCATCTATTCATCATTGCCATTTTGTTATGCTCTGCTGCTATGTTGTTGGGTGGGACGGTTCTATGAGAGATAAGCCCACTACCTAGGCTTGAGTACATACATAGGATTAGAATGGATAGTCGCATGGCTTGCATGGCGTCTGGCCACGTTTAGTGTAAGTGTGAAATGTACCTAAGAGGGAGGGGTGAATTATGTACTTAAAATTTTTCAGTCTTTGATGTAGGATCCTTGTTTTACTTTCCTAAAATTTACTAAGTGAAGAATGCGGTAAATGCAGAAAGTAAAGAGACACGGCGATATATTCTAGTCCCCCTCACAGTCCGAGAGTACTCCAGTCCCCTTTCAACACGAAAGAGATTTTTCAATAATTGTTAGATCTTAAGACAAGACTTCTACCTAGTCTTTCTATACAAATTCTAAACAATCAAACCACCAAGAACAAACTCTTGGATTTTTCAACTAAGTCCAATGAGAACAATCCTCTAAATTTGACCTCTTACTTCCAACAATCCTGGACAGTAAGGTAACAACCTTACAAACTTAATTCCAACAATCCTGGAACACTAAGTATGTAATCAAAGAGTAAATGAATAAAATCTGTTTTGAGTAGTTTTGCAATTGTCTTCAAAATATCAATCTTTCGATCGTTCTTCTTCTTGATATTCCAAATCTTATATATCTTAACAAGTGCTCAAGAGGTAAATGAGTGAAACTATGATGAATTTATGAAAGTTGAAGTATGAAAGTTTCACTCTTGAAAAATCATAATTTTAACACTTGTGAAAATTTGAGAATGAGAGATGAAAAATATATTTGAAATTTTTGCAAGAAGGTTGGATTTAAAATCTGAGTTTAGAGGTATATATATGCCTCTAAACACCTTTTCAAAAGAGACATAATGGCCAAGAGATGCCATGATTCAAGAAGAAGAATGAAAACAATTTTATGCCAAAAGATGCAACTTTCTGGCCAACAGCGCCAGTGGTAATCGGTTACCATAAGTGGGTAACCGGTTACCAGCCTCAACGTACTAAAAAATTTGAAAGATTACAAAGGGTAATCGGTTACCAGGTTTGAGTAACCGGTTACTCTGTTCAATTTTTCAGAAAAACAGTTTTGAAAAAGAGGAAGAAGTGCATATAAATGTTTTAAAAAGGTTTTAACATGAAATGCAAGAAAGAGAGATGAAGTTGAATACTTGTTTAAGGTATATAGTAGCTTAAACGTTGTACCTCCCTTTGTGTAGAACTTGTCTCTATTCTTGATCAAGATTTGACATATTGATATGAAATTGAGTTGCTTCAAACTCGATTTACTCGATAGCCTTTAAACCATCCTTGCATGTTATGGAGTGTGTTGTCATTAAAATTGCTTGAGAAGCTTTGTCTTCACAGTCTCCCCCTTTTTGATAATGACAACCTCTGCTTGAAAGTTCATTTCCACCGGTTTTTCTAACAAATGCGCTATTGCTCCCCCTTAATCATTAATTTAAGAGAGTCTTTGAAATTTTTCTGCAAAATTTGTTAGAAAGCAAGAACAATAATACACATATGTATTTCTTCTCCCCCTTTGTCAATAACAAAAAGGATGGGAAAAGAAACACACAAAAATGGACAAACTAAACATAAACATGTAAAACAACACAATACGAAACAAAAATACATCACAGACATTAAACAACACTTTGTTAGAAAACACACATAATTTAAACGGAATGAAACATTGTACTTGTTTACAACACGCAAAAATAAAGACATAATTATAAAACATAAATTTTCAGAACATAGAACATAAATAGAAAATTAATCATTCATTTTCATACATAGCGTCCTCTTCATCATCTTCTTCTTCATCTTCATCTTCATTTCCATCTCCATCTCCCTTTTCTTCTTCTTCTTTCCAGATAACTGCAAGTTGCTGCAAAGCTATGGATTTGAACATTTTTCTCATTAAAGCCGTACCTTTATGGTGTTCCCTAATGTGAAGATCCACCTTATTGTCAAGGG